CGTTTTGTCTACAGTAGGACGAGACAAAGAGGCAGCGTAGCCCAATGGTTAGAGAGGCGGCCTCGCGTCAGGAAGGCCTGGCTCCCAGTCCCTCCTGTGACCCATCCTGGCTGTGTGGCTTTGAGCAAATCACTTGACAGTAAATTCCTAACAGTGTGAGTTGTGGAGGAGGGGCCAGCCTGCATTGGGAGAGGGACAGTTCCTTGTGCTAATAAAATCCCAGTTCTGGTCCTTATCCCTATCCCTGTGATGGTCTGGCCCAAAGGAGAGGTCCTCTCCGGTGAAGAGATGGCCAGGAAGAAGTAGCAGTGAGCCACTAGCTTGGGAGGAAGGCATGGTACAGGGCCAGGCAGGGGCTTGCTGGGAAGAGACGGTATCCCAGAGGAGGAGGGCTCTGCCCTGCCCTCCTCTCCTGCCTGCCTCCCTTTGGCGGGTACCAGCCTGAGTGACCTGATTTGGGATCCCCAGCTCATAGCACAGAGCCTGGTGTGTACCTGGAAGGCCCTTAATAATTGTTCATTGACTGACTGACCGACAGTCGTGTGTGTAGGGCGGGGACCTGTTCTTCACTGGGCGTCCTCTACTGTGGTCTGGGGTACCCTGCTCAGCACAGAGAGCTGACCTTTGTGCATGTAACAGAAAAGAAACCGAGTCTGGGTGTTCTTGGGATGTCCACAAAGAGCCGTGGCAGTGCTAAACCCCTGGAAACCCCGTGGACCCTTTTTGTGGCTGAGGGCCCAGGCAGTAAAATACTCACTGAGAAAAGATAAATGAAGTGAGTGCTTTTAACAACTTCTGGCTTCTAAATTACAGGCTTCCCTTGGAGGGTCATCAGAGCTTGGGCCCCTTTGGGCTCGGGCTCTGCAGGACTAAAAGAAAAGTCCCGGGTGGAAGGAGGCCATTCAGGGGGTCAGGGAGGGGGTAGGGGAATAGGAAAGCTGGCGTAGGCTTGGACAGGGCGGCGGGGGGACACACACAGGTGCCCTCCTTGGGGGGTGCTGGAGCTCGTTCTGGGACACCAGCTGCCCTGTTTCTGGGCCAGAAGTGGGGCCAGGAGACTTCTTGGGGAGCGGGGGTCACTGTGAGATGAATGAGGGCTGTCTGTTTTCTGGTATACCCCAAGCTAACACGGGGCACCCGTGCCCCTTCCCTCACACTCACCCCTGGATATTATCTGCTGCTTCTTAGCCAGCCCCGGTGGAATGCGGCAAAACCAGTCCGATGGGCCTGGGAAAGGGATTTCGAGCTGGAGAGCAGGTGAATTTGAAAGCCCAGCCCAGCCGCTGTTCCCAGGCACTTGTCACTAGCCTTTTGATCTGGTGGAGGACTTCCCCTCATCAGTCACTTGCCGATGACTCCCTGCCCCCACTAGAGCCTCCCTAGTTACAAAGGACTGCAGACCAACAAAACCATTTCTTGGCCATTTCTGACAAAGTATGCCTCCTTCTTCCCCCCTGGCCACCACCTCTCTTCCTGGCCAGTCTTCTAACTCCAGACTGGTCACTACGTTGTTTTGACTACATTACTGTCGCCATTGTGCAGATTTAGCTGTGGAATTCTGCCTCCGTTCATACAAGGGATGCCTTTTAAATATCAGAGCGTTCCTTGGGCCTCGTATGATGACAATTGTAATTTTAGTGCCCGTGGATTGAGAAAATTCATAAGGACCCAGAGCTCAGAAGCCGAGTACCAGGGATACAACGACTGTCATTCGGGTCGTTTAGTGAAGGGAAATCAAAGCCAAAATGACAATGGTCGATGCTCCCATGATGCACTGGACCAGCCTCTGTCGTCCCTGCTCTAGCGATGATCTGAGGCCCGCCCAAGAACACGGGGGAAGGCTTTCTGATCTTCTACTAACAAACTTATCTCCATGGACCAGCGAATTCCTGGTGGTGGAGTGGCCACAGGCAAACTGGCCAAGGAACGATGGCCACGGATGACGTCCGTGGGGTTTTCTTGGCAAAGATGTTGGAGTGGTTTGTCATTTCCTTCTCCAGTGTGTCCCCATTTTATAGATGAGGAACTGAGGCAAATAGGAGCCAAGTGACTTACGCAGGGTCACACCACTGCAAGTGTCTGAGGCTGGATTTGAACTCAGATCTTCTTGACTCCAGGCTTGATGCTCCATCCACTGCACTATTTAGCCACCCCTACTTTACACAATAGGTGTGTAATACAGATGGGGTGTTTGACATTGTGTCCTGCGTACTGAATAGGGAGCTAGAATCCTTGGTATGAGCTGGGAGGCTGTCGAATAAAGATTTCTTTTAACATCCTTAAAGAAATAGCTCGTTCTCTGTTTCCCAAGGTGGGCCACCTATTCTTTCCTGCTTTGGACTCTGGGCCACTTTACTCCCTGGTGATGCCATGTTCTGAAGGCTCCTTCAGCTCCTTTTCTGGCTTTCCTCACAAATTTAAAATAAAGTTCAAATTCATTTGCCTGACATTCAAGGCCTTCAACAACCAGGTCCCAATCTCTCCCTCAGTACTCCTGTGCATCTGTCCATCGAAGCTCTTTGCTGTTCCTCATACATTCTCTTTATCAGTAAATCCAATCTTGCTTGGAAAGCCTTCCGCCCCACCCAGATCCCCACCACCATCTTGTGTCCTTTAAGACCCAGGCCCAAGGCCGCCTCCCCATTGCCAGGGCCTCCTCTGCTTCCCATTCATTCTTGATCTGTATCGCTCACAGTTCTCATCCCACATTTCTGAATTTGAGAAATGAAAGTTTAAATGAAGGAAACAGCATCAATCCCCGAGAGGCATTAGCAGCTCAGTCCTGCTGCTGCTGAACCTCGTAAATGGAGACGTGGGGAATTTTACTCCAGCTCCGACTCTTCTGTTAAAATGGCTCTGAGGGGGACAGCTCCCCAGCCTTGGCGTAGGGGGAAGTATACTGGACAATGGAGGCCGGAGATAGTGGGTTCTGGAGTTATTCACGTTAGTGGGTGAAATGACCTGTATCCCAAACAGCTGATTAAATCCTTTATACATAGATCATATGATTCAGGACCAAGAGATAGCAGACTAATTCCCACGTTATCTTTTGCTTAGGTTAGTTATTAACATTGGTCTGTATATGCTCTTTTTGTGGTGGCAGAGAATTGGAAATCAAGGGGATGTCCATTAATTGGGGAATGGCTGAACAAGTTATAGTTGATGATTGTGATGAAATACTGTTGTGTTAGAAGAAATGATGAGCAGGCAGACTTCAGAAAAACCTGGGAAGTCTTATATGACTGATGGAAAGTGAAGTGAGCAGAACCGGGAGATCACTGTGTCCCTTAACAGCAATGTTGTACAGTGATCAACTCTGAATGACTTAGCTCTGCTCGGCAATACAATGATCCTAGACGATTCCGGACTCGTGATGAAACACGCTGTCCGCCTCCAGAGAGAGAACTGGTGAACTCTGAGTGCAGACTGACACGTAATCTTCTCACTTTCTTTATTTTTCTTGCTTTTTAAAAAGAATATGGCTGATATGGAAACCTGTTTTACATGATTTCACATTCATAATTTATCATACTGCTTGCCTTCTTACTGGAGAGGGTTAAAGGGAGGGAGAGAATTTAGAACTCAACATGTAAAAAAAAACAATACTAATAAATAATAGAATGTTAAAAACATAAAATCAGTGTTCATAGATGCCTGTTTAAAGTAGGGGAAACAAAGTGGGGGCGGAGGGAAGAAGGAAACAAGATATGCTAGCAGAGGAGACAGTAGTCAGGAACTTTAAATCTTCCCCTGATGGTCATAATTAGGGCATAGGTAATCAGTTATTGAGCGCATACATGGGTATATATTTGTATGCATGCAGGTACATGTATGCACTGTAACAATATCAGATCACAGATTTAGGAGCTCGGAAAGACCTCATTCAGTCCAACATGTTCATTTTACAGATGAGGAAACTGAGGCTTGCAGAGTAGATAAGTGACTTAAGCTTGAAGGAACCTTAGAAGTTATCAAATCCAACCCTTTTGTTTTAGAGAGGGGTAAACTGAGGACCTGAGAAGGGATATGATTTTTCTCAGTCACACAGGTACCAAGTGGCATTTGGATTATCTTAGTTATAAATTTTTTTATTGGAGTCTTAGTGACTATTAACATTAAATAGGAAAAATGACTGACTTTTTTAGGGCACTTTACAAGCATCATGTCATTTGGGCCTCAGCAACCCTGGGAGGGAAGATATTAGAGGTATCATTATTCCCATTTTGCTGATGAAGAAGCTGAGGGAGGTTTGAAAGGTTAAGTGACTCGTCCAGGGTCAAAGAGCTGGTAAATGCCTGAGGAACATAGGTGTTCTGACTACGGGTCCATCGTAGTCTTTTCTTAATTTAATTTTTTTTTAATGAATAACATTTTATTTTCTTTCCCTCTCACTGGCCCCATTGATGGAAAAAAATGAGGCTCGTAACACATGCATAACCAGGCACAACAAATTCCTGTGCCGACCATGTTTAAAAACCGTATGCCTCCTCCTTTATCCTCAATCCATCTCCTCTCTATCAGGAAGTGGGTGACCAGCTGGATCATTATCCTTTGAAATCACAGTTAGTCCTTCCAGCCCTCTTCCCTGCACTCCACACTGCCTCTCAGTTGAGAAAAACACGGACATCTATAAAAACCTAGCCTTCTATCGTTTATGAGAAGATAAAAAACATGTGTGAGAAGAATAACAAGTTTTCTTTTGCTTCTTCGTCCCTGCCGATATTTTGCTTCCAGGAATGGTTAGCGTTTGTTGTTGTAGCTTGGTGTGACCTCTGATCCTGCCCTCTCTGCAGCCTGTATGTTTGATCCTCCTTACGCCCAAACCCAACCGACTGCCCTGTGTCCAGCCCCACTGGGTCAGCCCTGGCCCGGGGCCCAGACACTTAGGCTGCTGCTTGGTTCTTCTGGTCTATACCAAGCTGGGAGGAAGCTTTTTGCCCAGGGTTTGGGGGTTTTGTCTTTAGTTTCTCAGCCTCGTCTTGACAGCCTCTCCTCTCTCCCCCAGGTCCGGACCCTCTTTGTCAGTGGCCTCCCTCTGGACATCAAGCCTCGGGAGCTTTATCTGCTCTTCAGACCATTTAAGGTATGCGCGAGCTGTCTACCTCAGACTTGGTGTTCTTTTGCCTCCTGAATCACCCTCATAGATGGGATAGGCCGGGACCCTCCCAAGGTTGACCCACGGTTCTGACTCTTCATCCAGCATTTATCAAGTACCTGCTGCGTACCAGGGTGCTGGACAAGTCCAGAATTCACTGCCGCGGGAGCCTCCAGCCTGCCAGGGCAGGCACGTACATGAGGATGTACAGAGTTTAGAGGGGAGCACGGGGGAGGCACCATCATGGGGGGTGGGGTGCTGAGAAAGATTTCCTACAGATCCTGAACTTTAAAGGAGACCAGGCACTGCCCGAGAGGCCGAGGGGAGGAGCAGGGCAATCTAGGCGAGGGACTGGAGAGGAGAGACTGGCATGAAGGCCAGTTTACCTGGCCCCTGGAGTGTGTGTATAAGCCTGAAAAGGCAGGCTGGAGGCCGGGGGTCACAGGGGGCTGCCAGAGATCACTGAGCAGGGCAGTGACATGGTCAGAGCTGGGCTTTGGATGGATGGAGCAGGGCAAGGCTTGAGGCTGAGGGTCAAGGGGAGGTGGCGGAGCTGGATCGGGACCCAGGGAGTTTAGGCAGGGCTGAGTGGACAGGGTGAGAGACCAGGCGGTTTGAGATAGGTGGAAATCTAATATCCTCGGGATTAAGAGATGAGAGGTTGGCAGCTGGCTGGCCACCGGGAGGCCAGGGGAGAGGAGTTCCTTTGGCCTGGGGCTCCGCCCATGGGAATGCTGTCACTGTGGAGCAGGTGTGTCTGCTTTCTTGCCAGTGTTTGGGAAGAGTAGCTGACCTTGGGCTCTGTTGGTGACTTCCTCGTAGGTGGGGTCTTTGGGCGTGGCCTGGGTCATTGCTGGAGGGGCGGGGCCTAGGGCTCTGCTTCCTGAGGGGACAAGGCAGAGGCCTAGGTGTGATTTGGTGGTGTGGGGCAGTTCCCAGTGTGGAGCCTCCCTCCCCCAACGCAGGCTGGCATCTGCTCCTCATTTGGCCTTGGCAGGAGGGGACGGGGGAGGGGGGAGGGGGGGGGTCAGGGCTGGACCCGCCCCCCCTGCTGACGCTCTCCCGGCTTGCCTCTTGATCCAGGGAAGGCTCTTGAAGGCCTCCCTGCTGCTCCTCTTTAGTTGTCCCAAGCCGGCAAGGCCTCCGAGGTCCCTCCCAGTGTGAGATGTCCTTGAGTCCTTCCGCTCTCCCCTCCCCAGACAGCCATCCCCTGTAACAGAATGCACGCAGGAGCTGGTCACATGCAACCTTCTCTCCTGTTTTTTGTATCTGGGGATTTTCAGGTTTGTCAATGATGGTCAAATTCATAGTAAAAGAAGTCATTTTAAAAGGTTTTTTGTTTAAAAAAAAAGTAAGGAAAAATGTCACCCTCACTCTGGGGCCCTGTGCGCATGTTCCTGAGGCTTTGAGGAGGTGTGGAAGGAAGGACAGTCTCTTCTGCCCGGTCAGATGTGGGAAGGGACCCGGCCTGGCGGCGGCTCAGGACTCCTGGCTTTGAGGCGGGCGTCTCCACTGCTCAGCCAGGGGACCTTGGGCAAGCCCGCCCTATCTCAGTTTCCCCCTCTGTCAAGTGAGGGGCTGGGCTGCCCGCTCAGCCATGGAATGATCGTGTTCCGGGCACACACCTGCAGCTGCCAGTGGGCTCTGTCTCTTCCTGCTGTCGCCTGTCACCGATCTGACCTCCTTCTCCTTCTGTCTTTTCAGGGCTATGAAGGTTCCCTAATAAAGCTGACATCAAAGCAGGTAAGAGCCCCCGCTTGGGTGCGGTGTGAGATGGCAGCTGCCCACGCGGCGCGTTTGGGCGCCGAGGCTCCCCCAGCGCACACCCAGGAATTAGCTGGTGGCTCTTCCTTGCTGGGGATAGGATGGATCGGCCACCAAAAATGAGCTGGACCCTCCTGTCAGGCCTCCGACGCTGGGCGGATCAGGTGCAGCCTCAGCAGCCTGAAGCTGGGTTTGACTTCCACCTTTATGGTTCCCGTGGGGGTGGCTATCAGACTCGGGGGAGGTCACAGCTGTCAAGCAGGGCCTTCTCTGTCCATGGGTCCAAACCCTCGTTTCACGCTGCGGTTGCCATCACGCTTTCCCACGTTTAGGGGTGATGACCAGTCATTCTCATACCTCATGTCTGGCCCTTTGAAGGGGTGGTGGGCTCAGTGGAAGGCAAGCCTCTGACTATATTGCCGTGGCTTAGAAAGAATGAGAACCTGTGCCCCTGAGACAGCTCATCTGTGACCTGGGCCCGTCCTTTCTCCTGGCTCTCCCTCAGTTTCCTCCTGGGTAAAAAGAAGGGGTTGGCTTCCTTCCAGCCAATGTGTGGTCTGTGATTTGGTTTAGAGCATCACTAGGATGGAGGTGGGGGCCGGGGGGGGACTTCAGGCTGAACGTTGAGCTTTGTGACCCTGGCCAAGTGCCCAGCCCCCTCTGAGCTGCAGAGTCAGGTGGGTCCTTGTACCACCTGCCTCCTGGGCACTGCCCTGCCCTTTCCCTTTCCCCTTGGCCAGAGGTGGGCTGGGGCAGGGGATGGGCAGCTGGAGGGACAGGGGACAGAAAGTGGGGGAGGGGCTGGCTCATTCCTCAGTTGTCCCAGCACACAACAGCCCCCTACTTACAGGAGAGCGCTGAGTCACCCCCGCGTGCCCATCCTGTGCATAGTGAGTGGTTCCTGTGTTAGCAGCCGCTAGAAACGCTGGCTTGGAATCACTGCCGTTTTCTTTCCAGCTGGAGAGCGCCTCCATACGCATCTAGCACAATCCTTTCTCTTTATAGAGAAGGACCTGGCCAAGCGCTCCCTGAATTGAATGACTAAGTGTGACTTGAGGATCGATGGGGGCATGCCTCGGGTCACCTGGGCACATGGGGGCTGACTCTGGGTCCTAAAGGTGCCATCCGTCCGTGGACGTGGCCAAGTCCTTGTGTGCTTACCTGTATTTCTTTGTGGCAGGGGAGGGGTCCGTCGGAGGAGGGGTGGGGAGAATCATCAGGAAGGAGCGCAAATGTATAAAATCAGTATTTTTTTAATTTAAAAATTGAATGAGAAAGTTATCCCGGGGAAGGAGGCCTGTCCTGCCTGATGACACCCTGTGGTGTGTCCGAAGCTCTTCGCCCACCCCCCCCCACCCCGCTGGCCTCTGGCCCCCGCTGTCCCCCAGCCTGCCACACTGACCCTGCCCTTCTCTTGTTCTTGTTCTCAGCCCGTCGGCTTTGTCAGTTTTGATAGTCGATCAGAAGCAGAAGCTGCTAAGAATGCACTGAATGTAAGTACCAGATGACGGCCGCATGGTCTTCCTCCTGAGGGGCAGGAGGGCCTTTCTGGCTCTCAGCTGCTCAGGCCCTTTTGGGTCTAACGGGACTCATTGTCCCCTTCACCTGAAGTCGTTTGTTGGGTGCCATTTTGATTTTTGGCAGTGTCCTCTGGCAAGCTCAGAAGGCCCTTCGACTTCATAAGGGCCTATGGCCTTGCTAAATGTATACTTGCCCCTTGTCTGAGCACAGGGATTTTGTAAACATTTGGTGCTGAATAAATGTTGGTTGAATGAATGGAATGGGCATCCTTAGGGCAGAGGCATAAAGGGAAAGATGCTCGTGGGTCTGGCCAAGTTGTTATGAACCGAAGGCAGACTCAGGCGTGGGGTGACCTGGCTTCCAGGCAGAGCTCTGCCAGTGTCTCTGGGCTTCTGCCATTTCCTGCCCTCCCCTCCCCTTCCTCCCTGACATCCCGAGGCCCTTTGACTGGTCCCCAGGGTTCCTTCGCAGTAGAGGGCCGTCTGCCCCTATGAGCAGTGACCCCTGGCAGTTGGTGTCGTCCCAGGACTGGCATCCCCTCCTCTGTGAGCACTCGTCTGGGGGCCTCCTTCAGCCGTCACCCCAGCTCCCCCATTGGAAACAATGGAGCAGCCCCAGCTTTCCTAGATGCCCACTGTGAGCAGAGAACAGCTCTGGGGGGAGGAGGCAAAGCCACCTCCCACCTGCCCCTTCTCCATGCACAGAGCGTGTGTGTGGCCCATGATTTCTCCTCTGACCATCTGTCACTTAGCTAGCCTGGCACCTACCCACCACGGGCTTGGATGCGGCCTAGCCCTGGCCCCTCTCGCCATCTCGGATGGATGGAATGCCTCTGCTTTAAGTCTTCTCTCTTTCTGACTAGCAAGTGAGAAAGCCTTTCAGGAGACCCCTCCACATTGTAAAATCCACTGAGGGGAGGAGCAGCCTGACGGTGGCAAAGCCACGTGCCAGGAATCAGAACCATGATGGCGCTCCGTGATCTGGCGGGGTGGGGCAGACCATAGCTTGATCAGGTCAGGCAGCAGCAGCTGGCCATCCCCCACGTCCCTCCATGGTGGTGCGTTCATAATAATCAGAGCTGTCCAAAGGTGCTGCCATGGGCCATAGTGGGCTCCCATTGGCTGCTGGTGGTCATTGGGCCAAAGCCGGGGAGGGGAAATGCTGGTGGACTCTTGTTGAGTTTGGGCCAAGGCTGGCTTCTGAGACTTCTCCCCACAGAGGCGCTGTGGTCTGGGACTTGCGTTTGGCTTGCTTTTTCTGTGAGATGGTAATGGGGGGCAAGGATGGGAGACAACATTTATTAAACACCTGCTGTATGCCAGGCATTTCACCAACCACTTAATAAATATCGTCTGCTGTGATCTCATGGACTACCCTAGGAGGCAGGTGCTATTGAAGGAGGTTTTCTAGCCCCTTAGGTGGTGCAGTGGATGTAGTACTCAGCCTGGAGCCAGAAAGACCTGAGTTCAAATCCTGCTTCAGGCACTTACTAGCTTGGTGACCCTGGACAAGTCACATCCTCACTTTAACCCTCTAAAGGGGGTCTGGAAATGTCATACTTTATAGAGTTAGCGTAAGAATCCACAGCAGTAACAGACCTTAAAGCGGCCTATGAAAGCTGTTATCATTGTTGGTGTTTTCAGGATCTTATCTACCCACCACCATCATCCTCCTCATTATTCTCATTTTTCTCTCGCACGTGTTCGTCAAGCACATTTCTCTCAGTCCAGCTGGCTTCCCCCAATCAGTGTCAGGTCATGCTGAAGCCTGGGTAGGCGGAGGGCTCTGGAGGGCCTTCTAGGTGTGGACGAGCCCACAGTTAACATTCCGCGGGGACTCTTTCTTGTCTAAGCTCATGTGGCGTTTTTCTCTTCCTTTTTCTTCATCAGACTGGAAGCCAGTTTGAGGGTAGGGGCTGGGCCATAGGCTGGTGGAGCTGGAAGGGACCTTGGAGGTCAGTCTTCTAGCCCATCTCCCATTTTACAGATGAGGAAACTGAGGTCACAGTTTGGTGGGCTGAGGACCTTGGTAAAGGAGATCCAGGTGGAGCTGAGATTTGACCCCAAATCTTCCAGTTCTGAAACTGGGCCCTTGGGACCATTCTTTAATATGGAATGCCCCCGCCATCGCCAGGCCAGTGGGCCTTTTATGAATGAGTTCTGAGCAAAGTTAATGGGTTCTTCTGCTGACCTGTCAGCTGGGGGAACAGTCAGTCCTGAGTTGTTGTTCCCCCCCCCCCCCCAAGTCCCAGGCTCCTGGAGGATCCTCTTGGACTGGGGCCTTTGGCCCCTTTGACAGAAACCAGCCCCTCCTTCCTCAGGGATGCAGCTGTCACTGGCAGACAGCGGCCACACCGCCGGTGCTGAAGCCAATACCCCTGCTCCCCCGGAGCAGGCCCCACGTGGACCCAGTGGTGTTTTTCATGCCCCAGTGTGTGTGACGTAAGAGGCGTGGGAGAAAGGGGTTTTCTCAGGTTCGGAGAGATGTGGGAGTGGGGGGAGAAGGGAGAGGAGGACAGGCTGCTTTAGTAGAGAGAGAGATACAGACATGGAGAGGAGGAGGCAGCCAGATGGGAAAGAGGAAGGGACAGGAGGAAGGATGGGGCGAGGGGAGAGAGAGACAGAGAGACAGACACACAGAGAGAGAGACACAGACAG